TGTTCATTGCCTTGAGCCTGGAAACCAGGGGGTTGTATCATGTAAACTTCCTCTTCAAGGTCACCATTCAAGAATGCATTCTTGATATCAAGCTGATGTAGATCCCAGTCAAGATTAGCAGCAAGAGAGAATAGAACTCTAATGGAGTTCATCTTAGCAACAAGTGCAAAAGTCTCTACATAATCAACTCTGTACACTTGTGTAAACCCCTTTGCCACTAAACGAGCTTTATACCTCTCTCCACCGTGCCATCAGCCCTATGTTTGTCTGTGAACACCCATTTACATCCAACTGGATCCTTTCCCTTAGGAAGATCTACAAGTTCCCATGTGCCATTTTATGAAGGGCATTAATTTCTTCCTTCATAGCATCTGTCCATTCAGGTACTAAAAGAGCTTCTACCACATTCTTAGGGATACAGACACTGTTAATGGATTGCTCGAAAAGAGGGTGAAATGTTTTCATAGGAAACAAAGTGGGAAATGGGGTGTTTAGTGGTGCACAATCTAACACCTTTCCTGTGAGCAATAGGAAGGTCCAGGTCATTAGCAACAGAGGTATCAATTGCAATGAGGTCAGGGACATCAATGGGAACCAAGATACCTGAGTGAGTATGATCCGCCCCCGAAGAGTTTAATGGCATTGGAGGTGCAGCTTCTAGATTCTCCACAACTCTTGAATTTGGTTGGCCTTTGTGATGACGGAAGAAGACATGAAAAGGAGGAGGATCAGGAAGAGGAGGGAGCTGAACCAGTTTCTCCTCATTCCTACTCTCCCCCTGAGGAGAAACAAGGAAAAAAGGCTCACTCTCAAAGAAAGAGACATCCATGGAAACATAGAATTTCCGAGAAATAGGATCAAAACAACAGTATCCCTTCTAAGTGAAGGAATACCCCAGGAATATGCAAGGAATAGCACGAAGGTCCAATTTTCCACGAGTGGGTGACAAATTTTGGACAAAGCAGCGACAACCAAACACACGAGGAGGAATGGGAAGAAGGGGGGCCTTAGGAAAGAGAAGCTGATGTGGGGCTTTGCACTCTAACCAATGAGAGGGCAGACGGTTGATGAGGTAGGTAGCACAAAGGACAACCTCAAGCCAAAAGCATTTTGGGACATTCATACGGAGTAGTAAACCCCAGGCCACTTCAAAGAGGTGTCGGTTCTTTCTTTCAGCAACACCATTTTGTTGTGGTGTTCGGGCACAAGAGCTATGGTGAAGTGAACCACGTGAAGCAAAAAATTCCGTGAGATCACTATGAAAATACTCTTTGGCATTATCTAACTGAAAAATTTGGATTTCAGTTTGAAATTGGGTGAAGACCATCCGCTGAAATTCTTGGATGATTTTTGGTACTTCACCCCTGGTCTCCATGGGATATACCCATGTATATCCAGAATAATCATCGATAATGGTAATAAAATACTTGTAGCCACTCTTAGATGGTAAAGTAACAGGGCCCCACACATCGAAATGAACAATGTGAAAAGGAAATTCAGATTTATTGTTTTTTGAAAGAAAATGAGTTCTACACTGCTTACTCAATTGACAAATTTGACAAGAGAAATCTGAAACGGACACTGACTTAAACAATTCTGGAAACACCACTTTTAAAGACTCAAAAGATAAACGACCAAGAGGACAATGGCATAAATAAACTTGACTCTTACAGGACTGACTCTTAGACTCTGTGACTTGAAGACCAGCCTTATTCTCCAGCATGTAAAGTCCATCAACCATACATCCTCTACCAATCATCCTCCCCGAGGCCAGATCCTAGATCACACAGTAAGAAGGGAAAAAGGTCACTGAGCAGTTTAAGGAATTAGTAATACTACTAATAGAGAACAAATTAATGGGAAATTTCGGAACATGTAAAACATCAGAGAGGGTAAGGCTGAGAGGGAGAGAAATGGTTCCTTAACCAGCTATGGTAGTGTATGATCCATCAGCTAGACTCACCTTGTCTCTTCTAGAAAGAAGGTGATAGGTTTGAAAGTAAGAGGACGTACCAGTCATGTGTTTTGACGCTCCAGAATCAATGGTCCAGGGAGTGTCAGGGTTATGAGAAGCAACATGGAAAGCTATGGCAGAGTTACATGATGTAGACACAAATGAAGTTGAGGGAGGAGCATCCATCTGATGAATTGCTCTACCATAGATCTCTAAATGGTCATAAAAGGAATTTATAATATCCTCCCTTGGGTCAGATCCAGATGAATGTGTGTGAGTCACAGTATGAATTGGGGGTTGATTCTCCCGAGTAGCCATGTTTGTCATAGTGTGTTTTCTTGTACCTTGTTGTCCTAACTTTTTATTCATATCTAAACCTTGCATCTTATTCAAATCTTGAGCCCATTTCAGCTTCCCATTTAGATCACAGCATGTGTCTCGGGTGTGTTGGGGTTTCTGGCAATGAGTACACCACAATTTGTCCTTGTCATCCATCTTTTTCTAAAGATCCCCCTTCTTAGAAGTATTTCCCCCATCGGTAGTAACACTCCCTTTTGCTGCCAACACAACTGCATCTCCTCCAGAACTGTTCATCAAATTCCTTCTGCTTTCTTCTGATTGTACAAGAGCATAAACTTCCTGAACTGATGGAAGATCCTTGCTACCTAGGATCTGGACTTTGATAGATTCATATGTAGGGTTCAAACCATGTAAGAAAGCAAACACTCTCTATTGGGAGACGAGTTTTTTGTACAGTTTTGCATCTTCATCACACTTCCAATCCACACTCTGATAATGATCTAACTCCTTCCAGACAGAGGTCAAGTCTAAGTAGTACACAGATAGACACTTCTCCCCCTGTTTATAAGTAGACGATTCTGCTTGTAGCTAGTATATTTTTGCATAGTGTCGCAGTTCCAAATATGTTGATTTTGCTTGTTCCCAGATCTCATTTGCCATTTCAGCCCACATGAAATTCCTTCTTATTTGAGGTTGCATAGAAACTAAAAGCCAAGACATGACCATGCTGTTTTCCTGGTTCTATCTGTCATATTCAGCATTCCCAGAATGTGGTTGTTTGATTATCCCATTAATATAACCTATCTTTCCCCTTGCAGTGATGTACAACTTGATCCCTCTTGACCACTCATAATTTAAGCCATCAAGAGGAATAACAGTCATGGGAAAGGATAGGTCCACACCCCCACTCATTCCATTCAGCATTGAGGAAACACCAGATGTAGCAGAATCTTCACCACTCATGATTTCAGATTCAAAAACAACTCTTAAATGGGGTACATAGCCTTAAAGAAATTCAATAGTGAGGGGGAACGAAAAAAAAAATTTCTTCAAAAACACACCTCCTTTTGTAAAAACCACAGGTGTTGTTACATCACTAACAGGTCATCCCTTGGACTTACAAGCTCAATACAAGTGTTGCCACAATGCATACAGGTCATCTCTTGATCTACGCATCAACAGGACTGCTGTTACAGCAAGTACTGGTCACTTTCTAACCTTCAATTCACCATAAAAACTGTTGTTGCAGCACACAAGAGGTACTGGTCACTTTCTGACCCTTAGTTCACCAAAAAAGTTGCTGTTGCAGCACACAAAATGTCCTCACAACCTACAGTTTCACAGGGATCGGTCGACCCCACAAAAAAGGAAAGAAAGAGGTGTTGATCACCTCACATCCAATCAGCAGACCTAGTACAGGTTCTGCCCTGGCACATGGCTAGAAAAAAAGGTAAGAGAGAGAGAGAAAAGTTACTTCAGTGTGTGAGATCTTCAATCAGCCGAACAGCAGATGAGTGCAGCAGATCTGGAAATCTGGTGCGAAGAAGAAAAAAACTGTTCACTCGACTTCTCCTTTCAGATCTGATAGTCCCGCTCTGATACCATGTTATGCAGGAGAGAAGAATGGAAGAAGAGAGAAAAGAGAGAGAAGAAGAGAGAAAAGAGAGAGAAGAAGAGAGAAGAGAGAACTGAGAACAAAAGATACTGCTGGCGGCGTAGCTTTTTTAATATATATACTTGGGCGACAACAACTAAAATAAAAAAGAGTAAAAGTACAATAGTACCCCTGCAGTACTATACATAGGAAAAATAACATCTGTTAACAGAATCCACTCAAGTTTAGATGCCTTTTCCAGCACGTTGAAGCAGCTGTAACAGCATGAGCTAGCTTAAGATGCAATTTTGAACTTTTCCTTCTTTCAAACCAAACACAGCATTATGGTCTTGCAATGAACAAGTAAATGGTTAATATTTATGAATTAAGCATAACCATCCCATTTAACATAGCTTTTCAGAATTCAAAAGAAAGCTTCTATCCTTAGCCCATTAACATGTTCCAAAGATTAACTAGCAAAGAAATTTCAAATACAATAATCAAAATGTCCTCAAGAATGGCTTAGATGAGATTTCATGAACTCCATGTTCTTTAACTTGGTTGATCTACATAAAATGAAGTGTGGGGACCCCATCCAGGCATCATCTGTTTTCACCTATTTGACCATATCTATGAACTTCACAACTAGTGTCACATTAATGTCCCACACAATAAGCCATACATGTGGAGCTATCATACCTAGCTACCTTTCTAAGGGTGCTGTATTACTATTTTTTTTTATAAATGTGCTGTATTACCTTATTTTCTAGAGTAGTCATACCGAATACCTTTCCCAGTCATGTCCTTATCACATCCAGGTAAAATATATGTAGAATATATAGGGACCAAACCCCCTTACTTTTGTCTAATCAAACACAACAGCATCTAGTTTTAAAGTTCAAGGCATTGAGCATAGAAAAGTATGCAACAGTATGGAGAAGGGGACAAATAGAATATAGACAGACTAGTAAGAAACATATGACAGTATGCCCATTTACATAGGTGGAGAAACTACATAATCATTAAATTCTTTGAAGCAAAAGTCCATTCATTGAAACACGACACTTGTGGATTTTGCAATTCTTAATGAACCTAGACTTTGAGATATTCTTGCATAACTAATAGTTAAACAGGATAGGAACAAATCCTCACCTCCTCGGAGAAAATTTTGGATTTCAAACCGGTGTTTCCACCATAAGTTTGCATTGCTTCTATTTCAACACCAGATTCCCTCATATCAATAAGTTCTTTTCTCAGTCCCTCATCAGTGCAGCCCAGCGCATATGCATTTACTCCAGCACTAATGAACTCCTAATTAGATGTAACTAAAACTGTAAGTAAGAAATATAATAAAACTGGACAGAAAATAGAATATTCAAACTCCTAAAATATACTTTTAGGTTGTCACCTCCTCCGCGCTCAATGACGTTCCTGTACCTCCTAAATAAGCTGACTGCTATATTGCGGGATGAGCGATATTCATCATCTGATGAAGCAGAGACATGCATCTGGTACCACAAAGTTCAAATACAAACGGCAAACCTCAAAAGATATAGAAGATCAACGATAGGATTTTTGTAGAAACCATTTTACTGACTAGTAGCTACTTACCAGCCGTCTCTTCAAAGTTGCTAGGTTTGATATATTTGATGGAGAACTGCCCTTAATTTGGCCACCGCATTTCCAAGGAGAAGTGGAAATATAAAACCCTTGATTGTGATGATTCCCATTGATCAAAAGATTGATATGTAAAATGTTACAAGTAGAAGGTTCTCGCAATACGTTAGTTTCCCAGTTTGTCTTCCATTTGGTGATTGCTCGGGAAGCATGCATTGTCAGCATGGTTGCACCATGGCAGTACTACCCTACAGAAGTTACCAAAGTACTTAAAAACAGAAATAGAAGGTTATAATTAGTTTATTATTAGAAAGACTAAGCACCTTCACTAAGAAAATCAAAATCAGATGGATGGGAATTATATCCAAACGTTCCTGAAACTTAGACCTCTTTCCAGGATAAACATAATTTTGTAAGTAGTTTCTTCTTTGAGAGTGGAATAAGGACCTCAACATTGTCAACTATAGTCAATAAATCAAACATGGAGGCCATGTTTGATTTATTAGAGAACCGATATCCGATTGTAATATATACTTGAATGAGAAAGAAATTTCTTAGAGAACCGATTAGAAGACTCACCTACTAGGGCTTTTGATGAGTCAGAGCTTGGGAACACCATGAACGGACCAAGCTAATCGCAAGTACAGACTAGAGAATAGGGGGAGGAGGAGGAGGAGGAGGAGGAGGAAGGCAGGCGAAAACGACCGTAATGAAGAATCAAAAACTCTATGTCCACGAATATTTGAATGGCTCTGCAGCTTTGATTGAAACTTGCACAATTTTGCCAAAAAAAAAAATATGGCGGGGAGGATCGACAGCGGAGTTTGTCATCGAGTTCGCTTGGAGTTGGAGGAATCTAGACGACAATAACGTTTTACAGAAAAAGATACTTTAAACCGAAGTAGAATCCGTCGTTGATTTTACATTTACACTTCGCGATCGTTGATCAGGAAAAATGAGGCGTTCGGCTATGATACCAGAAATACTTGTAACCAACCGAGTGGTGGCTCGGTTGGCACGTAACTGGGAAAGCCCCAGACGCAATGAGGTTTCGGGCCCCGCTGCTAACGGCGGGGGCAAGGGCGAGTAATCAATACCAAAAAAATGCTTGTAAGTTGTAACCAATCAACGGGTATCGTTATTCATTAATGCGCTAACCAATCCCCAGTCCGATAGTATTCATCAAAATTTACGAGGGTTTTGATTGGTTAAATTTACGAGATTTTCCCCAAAAGATCATGGCCTAACCACGCGTGAGTCACTCATGGTCAATGGAAAATAATTTGGGCTGTCAATGGGTCGGGTCAGACCCGATGGACCTAATAAATCAAATGGGCTGGTTCTGGTTGGTTTCGGGTCCTGATATAGGGTCTTGATTACTATCAATTTAGAATCGATTTCATCTAGCCCCGAATTGATTCAGACCCGACCGATATATATAGAATTATTAATATATATTAAATATAAATATTTATTTTTTATTTATGGATTCATTTAGGACAAATTTCTTAAACTACTCTTATGGTTTAGTTAATTGACTAGCTCTACCCTTATTGTTTATATAGTGTTTAAAGTACCCCTTCTGTTTTTTGACAATTGACTAAAACAAAAAATGTCAAATTTACCCTCTACTATTCCTCAAATTTTTAAAATAAAACCCATAAAAAAATTCAAGGAATCAATTGTGACGAATCCGAATCTACAGTTGAATTCGCCATTGCACAGCCTTTCTTCAGGTGAGCTCCCCAAGTTTCTTGAGTAAAATCTTGCAATTGTAGTCAATTTCAGCCAAGTTCTCCATAATAGTCAAGTTTACCCTAACCAGCTTGCCGATGAGACCAGAGTTCTCCGTAATAGCAGCCCTTCAAATTATTTCTTTGTTCAAGTTAAAGGAGATCCAACTGAAGCATCCGGCCCATTTTTGGGTAGTTTTATATGGTAATCCTCTTAGTAAAACAGGGAAAGTGTTATATCGATCTTCCTCTCTGGCTCCTTCTTCAATGAGAAAAAGAATAACCTAGGAAAAACACCATTCTAATTGTATAAATGAGTCCCTCCTCACGAAGGAAAGGCGTTCAAAGAAAGAAAATCCAATAAAAATCGACCCTTGTAATTAACTTTGAAGGGGGAGATGATTAAATCAGTCTTATTTTTCTCGCTCTCGCTTGCTTTCTTCCTCACTTCCCCACAAGCCAAGCCCAATCATTCAACAGCTTCAGCCTTGCAGATCCTTCGGTTTGAAGATCCAAAACACCTAGGTACCAACAAACAGCAAATCAAGAAGAACACTCTTTTGATCTCTACATTCATTCTTTGCTTATCTTTTCTGCTTTCTTTCTCTACAGAGTCTGAGGAGATGCTCTTATACAGTGATAAGAAGCAGCTGCTGCTCTTATATAGGATCGTTGTTTGCCTCGCCTGAAGAAGAGCAAGCAATTGAACAAGAAAATGCGAGTATTGAACGAGTCGAAAAGCAAAAAACAAAATTGATGCCTTCAAGCTTGGCCACTATAGTAGAACGAGAAGAAGATGAAGATGCTCTGGTAACCGCTGCAAATGATGGCCTTCGAGGAACTTTCAGAGTGTCGGGGCTTGGGAGATAAGGTAAGGGAAGAAAGAGGAAGAACTTGTTGTATTAGCAAGAGTGGCATTTTTGGTCATCATCGTAGTTGTTGTTTGCAACGAGGAGCTCAGACTCAGAGCAGGCATCATGGATGCCCCAACTTCTCTGCAACGCCGACTTTGACAGTTTAATTAATAATTTCCAGTACATCGTTTCTCAAACCCTGCCTGAACTCGTCTCGGAAGCACGTCTCCTCCGCGTTGTAGCCGAGATAGCCCATAAAGTACGTATGAGTGGTTTGGTGCCAAAGTTTTGTTTTCGTGGGTTTTGCTTGTATCTAGTGCAGACATGAGCGGGAATAGACCGTAACAGAGTTCCCACTCCCGGTCTCACTACGATAAAAAGGATATTTTATGGATTTTTAAAAATTATATCAATCACGGGATGTCACATGTATAGAGTTTATAATAAAGAATTAATGGTAGGGAAGGTTTTAGACAATTATCAGAAATAATAAGAATACTTTAAGATAATATGTAAACAATAAGAGTGAATTAGATAGTTAATTAAAACATAAGGGTAGTTTAAGAAATTTGTCCTTTATTTATTATAATTGAGTCAAGTGGGTCAGACTTGATTGTCCAAGAATCGATCAATTTAATTTTGGGTCCAGATTTTTGGATCCAAATTGATTTGATCCCCAATTGTCCCAACATTTCATATTGGATCGGTCCAGACCCAAACCCAACCCATTGACAACCTTAACCTTATTTCGGTTGATATTAGGCCTAAGCCCAAGATTTTTTGATAAAGAATATTGGGTTTATTTTTACTACCGCAACATTCACAAACCCAACTCAATATTCCAACTACAAACAAGTGCTTAATAGTTTCCTCCCCGTTGTTACAAAGAACACAGTCTATGTCCTAGGACAAATCCAAAACTTAACCCTTAATTGAAATGAAATTTTAAACTACTCGCCAAAGAAACAATCGGTAACGAGGAGCTACCGGGAATCTCCATACCCACATAAGGCAGCGATTTAGGTTGTCACTAAGAGAGCTGTGGGAGGGAAAAAGGAGAGAGTAAGCCTGTTTAGTAGAAAAATTCCCAGATGGATGAGGGGTCCACACCCAAGCTTTAGAGTTTTCCTCCTCGGGAAGAATGAAGGAATTTTCAATGTCTTGGCATTGGAGATGGCCAATATGTTGTTCAAAGAGAGAGACATTCCAAGAGCACTCAGAAGTGATCTCTGAGAAAAACAGGTCCTAGATACTAAGAGAGGTCGGTTGATCTAACATTTTAAATCCAGCCCTAGATTGCACCCAAGGGACTTGAGCAATTTTCTTATCAGAGTTTAAACAAACTAAGAAGCCTACTTCATGAAATAAATCTCTCGACTTTGGAGCGGTGGACTTCCAAGTAAACAAGGCATAAGAGTTGATGGAGTAAGGGCATAGATTATTATTCCTCAAATATCGTGACTTCCATATTTGGGCCTAGAGGTTGTGTTGTTTATTAAGGAATCTCTAAACAAGTTTCTTGAGGAGAACCTGGCTGACAAGTTTCATTCTCCGGAATCCTAAACCTCCCAGATTTCTTGGTTGGGATAACCTATCCCAGGCATACCAGGTGAGGGTTAGACTCAGATCTAGACCACCAAAAGTCTCTCACAACTTTCTCGATTTCGTTTATGGTCTTTTTAGGAAAATTCAGCATTTTCATAGCGTGGTTAGGGATTGCTTGAAGTATAGATTGGATTAGGATTCATTTTCCTGCCTAAGTAAGGGCCAAAGCTTTCTATTTATTCAGCTTAGAATAGATAATTTCCAAGACGAAAGACATCCGGGAATGTTTGTTTCTCCCCCACAGCTGGAATGCATGAGTGAGCTAATTAATTCTCTTCCTCATAAAATGACAATGACTCGAGTAATAAGCTGGTATGCAGTAGCTTTGTATTACATTTGGTTTGCTCGAAATGAAAAATGTTTTAAAGATAAATGACTTATTCATGCAAATAACATTTCAGTAGAGGCTCCCCCTATCTCAAGGGGCTCGTAGGGGAGACTTTCCCTCAGAGCCCAGGAGAATATTGATTGTATTATTTTTGTTGATGCAGGTTCCATCAATAATTCTGAATTTTCATTTGGAGCAATATGTGTTTCACCTAACTTATCCTGTCTATGTGTAGTTAGGGGAAGAGTTAATCTTAATTCCATTAAAGAAGCTGAATTATTTGCGATCTTGCAGGAAGTTCAACAGGCAATTCAACTGCTAAAAGGAAATCTTCTGATATGCTCATTGTTAGAAAGTGATTTGGGCTTTAATGAACAAAGTTTCCATCAATTGGTCGTGCTGTAAGCTTTTGTCAACGACCAAACAAAAGATAGCATCCTGTTTGTTTGTGGATTTCTCATGTAAATAAGAGCTATAACATTCCAGCCCATAAAGTGGCTCAGTTAGCAAAAAGTTACTCTCAGGACTTTTTTTCTTTGGTAATTGCCCAGACAGGGTACTAGATGTAATGAACTTTATTATTCCTATTCCTAGTAAATATAGTTTCTTTACCTTTAAAAAAACTCAATATTCCAACTAGAACAAAAGATATATTAATCGTACTTTTTGGTTTTCAATATTGAATTTTTTTTGGTAAAATGGTAAATGGGATATGACCACTGAACGCTCCAATAAAGAGAAAAAGGGATCATAGGTAAGAATTTGCTAGCAGTTTTTTTTTTTTTTTGATGTGTTAGCAGTTATATTATATATATTTAAAAAAAAACAAAAGTTTTTGCAAATTATTATCATGAAGGAAAGAAGTGCTTATTGTTCTGATGCTACGCATTATTTGTGTTAGCGAGCCTACCCGTCAATAGTACATAATTTAAGACACTGTACATTTGTGCAGGTTAGGTTTGGAAATGAAGAGGAAAACACAGAAACTATAGAGAAGAAAATTTAATCAAGGTTATGTTTTATTTATTTAGTTTTTTTTTTTATAAATAAAGGAGATTAACAGACTCAACGCGAAAAGACACAACCTATAGAGTCGGAAAAGAAGAAAGTTAAATTGCAAAACTTTCGATATAAAACCATGCAACTCTCTAGTATGTCTTACGTTCGTCTATCAGTCTGCAACTTTGTTCCCTTCACGATAAGTAAGGCAACGTTGCAATCAAGCCCTACTACTATCTTCTTGTATTCTTTGAGCATTACCTAACATTGCCATGAAACTTGACCTGAACCTTTCAGCACAATTATCATCTTTGAATCTCCTTCTATGATGACCTTCTTAGTGTTTAGCTAGTTGGTTAACTTATGGGCTTCAAAAACTCCCCTTATCTCTGCTGTCATGATGAATGAATGCCCAATATAGCCGACTTTAAAGAAGAGGGATTCACCAAAGCGGTTCCTTGCTATGCATCCAAAGGCACAGGAGTAATAATCTTTCCTCGAGGCATCAAAATTGATTCATTTGATCCAAATAGATTTTTTTTTTTTTGATCTTTGCTCGACCCAACATTTTATGGAATTCAATGTATTGATTACAATTTACAGTGGCTTTCCGAACTAAATCCATTGGATTTTCAATCCTTCCCTTAAATATTTTTTCATTTTGTTGTTTCCTTAAGTACCAAAGGCTATAGCTTAATTTTTCCTAGTACATGTTAACTAGTCTATCTATCTTTTGGTTGCAAATCTCATCCCACCAGTCCCTAATGTTGTTATGTATTTCTTTGGTTGGGGTGGGTATTTGATTTTCTAAAATCCTCCAAACCAAAGCAACAACCGGATAGTTGAACAGGATATGTTTCGTCCTCAATTAATCCACAAACTTACCATTTTTGGTCAATCTAGATATTGTAAGCATCCAATTTTTGCCCGGTCCCCTCTCTAACCCACTTCTCATACTCCAAATGCCGGATCAGACCTAACCAACATCTTTAAAATATGCTAAAATCGTAGGAAACTAAATTTTAATTCAAATAGCCTCAAGTTTACTGTCAAATCCACAAGATTCCCTTTCGATAGTCCCGATTGTGCCACACCAACGCACCTGTTACCCAATCAGACTCCATCATATGAAGCAAAGCTGTTTATCATCCAATCACACCAAATTTTAGCCCTAAATTCCTTAATTTTACCATTCATCAATCAGAGATTCTATTTCAATACATCTGACACTACGACACTTCTCAAACGAAAAACCTACAATCCACAAGTCCCCAATACGATCAAACCCTAACAACAGCCTCATAATTCAGATCCATGCCACTCCACTAAAGTCAAACTTAAAAATTCCCTTAATTACCGATCCATCAACCCAAGATTCCATTTCAAGCCCCCTCATTGGTCAAAACACCAATGACATAGATTCCATAAATTCCAACACCTTTAAAATCACCAAACACTCTCATTAGACCCCACATAATCCATGATATCCACCGCCCATATTTCAGACCCAAAAATCCCCATTTCGCACTTCATACGCAAAGATTCTGAATCGACCACTCTCATTGTTCATTACATTCAAAATCATAGATTTCGATCAAGACACCCCTCCCAAGACATTCAAACCTTCCCAAAATCTTCAACAACCACTTGATTGATCACCCATCAAATTTCAGACCACAAAATGTCTATTTTACCCTTCGTACACAAAGATTCCAAATCGACCACTCTCGTTGCTCATTATACTCAAAATCTTAGATTTCGACCATAACACCTCTCCCGAGACATTCAAACCTTTCCAAAATCTTCAACAACCACTTGATTGATCACACACCAAGTTTCAGACCTCAAAATGTCCATTTTTCCCTTCATCTAAAAAGATTCCAAATCGACAATCCTCATTAGCCACCACTCTCAAAATCTTAGATCTCCACCATGCTAGCTCCCCCAAGACGCTCAAACTATACTAAAACCACCATCAGATCCCTGATCAACCATCCATCCACTTTTAGACCTCAAAATACCCATTTTGCCCTTCGTATGCATTGATTCCAAACCGACGATCATCGTTGGTCGTCACTTTCAAAATCCAAGATCTTCATCGAAACACTTCATCTAAGGCCCCAAACTATACTAAAACCAACATCAACTTCCTAATCAACCTTCCATCCAATTTTAGACCACAAAATACCCGTTTTGCCCTTCGTACGCAAAGATTCCAAATCGTCGATCTTCATTAGCCACCACTCTCCTAATCCGAGATCTTCATCGAGATACTCCATTCAAGACCCCGAGACCTCCATCAACTTCCTGATCAACCATCCACCCAACATCAGACCTCAAAATACTCATTTTACCCTTCATTCAAAAGATTCCAAGTCGACGATCCACGTTGGTCGCTATTCTCCAAATCTAAGATCTTTATCGAAACACATCATCTAGGACCTTCAAAACCGACCAAACCCCATCAAAACCTCCTGGTCGGTGATCCATTACATTTTAGACCCTAAAATGACCAATTTTACCTTTGGCTCAAAAAGATTCCAAATGGACCATCCTCATCGCCCGATACGCCTCAAATTCAAGATCCATCATCATACATCATCTAACACCTCCAAACCCCATCAAAACCTCACGATTGATGATCCATCACATTTCATACCCTAAAATGACCATTTTATCGTAAGCTTAAAAAGATTCCAAATGGACCATCCGATATGCCCCAAATTCAATATCCATCATCATACATCATCGAACACCTCCAAACCCTGTCAAAACCTCTCGATCATCGATCCGTTAAACTCCAAGCCTTAAAATTACCATTATACCCCTCATTTATAAATATTCCAAATCGAGGGCTCTCCTTGGCTACTACTCTCCCATTTCAAGACCTGCATTGTGGTACACCCTCTGATACACCTAGACCACGTCATCAGCTTCCTAGACACCTGAATAAACCCACCTCCATTTTAGACCCAAAATTACCATTTTACCCTTCTATTAAGAAAAATCCTGATTCGACAACCCCCATTGCTCAACACACTCCAAATCATGATTTCTTACTCAAACACAACCCTCGAGGCCATCAAACTTCATCATTGCCCTTTTCAAACACCTTATAACCCTCTTGGAAAATTTCATTACACAATTCCACATTTTACCCCTTCATCTACGAAGATTCCAATTTGTGCGATCTTGTTGGTTGAGAAAAACCCTAATATCTTGAGTTTTAATCTCAACCCTTGAATCCTGTACACCATACCCCGTAGACTTGACCTTTCATTACAAAGACCCCCTACACATCTTTAATTTGGACCCTACACATTTTGGAAAATCACCTAAAGCCCCTACTAAACCTAGACTCAATCCTAACCCTAGATTTGAGCCCCCCTTGCTTCTCCACCCTAGGATTGGCCTAACCCTCACTTCCACACACCAAAACCCTAGCTGCCACCTATCCATCCCCCCTTTGCATCCGCCCCCCACAGATTTGCCCCCCAAAAACGTTCCACGGACTCATAACGTGCCACGTGTCCTACACGCAAATGCATCTAACTCATGCGGAGCTAATGGGACGGCTGTTAGCTCGTCCCGTTAACTCCTACTTCGCCCAAAATAAGTAATCTCTCTCCTCTCTCTCTGTCCTCTCTCTCTCTCAAATCTCAGCTTCACTTGAACCCTTGACCTAGAGTGCGCGAACTGAAATCTGCCGGAGCTTCCCCCCGTTCGAGTTCCCTTGGTCGATGCCGACAATCATTTCAGAAGATTTATTTACCGAAGGTAAGTTCCCTCTTTATTGTTAGTTCTTCCATTCTCATATTTGTTTTTTTCTTATTTTTCTACCTTGTTTTTTTGTTTTTTTTTTTGCAATAAAAAAAACAACGGAAGGTCCAACCCACATGGGTATGTACAACGGAATGTGTTTGATATTTCGATGCTTGAAACAAATACAATGAATTAAGTACTGATTTTGGGTTGAAATGTTCTGTTCAGATGACTATGGATGAAGCCAAAAAAATCTTGCCCGCATGTCTGGATGATTCAAGCTCTAGAGGAATTGGTGCTTCGTCTACAACAGGAAATGAATTAAGTTCTTCCTTGTTCTTTAATCTAGGAGATGGCAACAATTGACTTGTAAATATTTAGACCGATGACAAAGAGACAGAGCATAGAGGCAGAGGAAACAAGAATCCTTCATGACAACCTAAGAACAAGAGAAGTAAAAATTTACATGCTGAGTGATTTGGAAAAACCCACAAAGATTACTCGGGAAAAGAAAACATCAAATTGTACAATTTGATGCAATTTTTTTTATTAAATAAAATTGGGTGATTCCATCAAAATCTTAAATTGTCATTAAAAGCATAACAATTTTTCTCTTGTGAAGTGAGTTGTTGGTCAATGGAAGAGGCACAGAGTTGCAGATGTTGCAACAGTTCTAACTTGCCGGCGTTGACCAAGGGAACTGGAAAGGGACTCCCACTCCAGAGAAATGAGAAAAAAAAATGATCGTCGACATCGACCGGCTGAACTCAAAGGGGGGGCAATCTCCGCCAGGTTTCAGTTCTGAGAGCAGAAGGTCGAGGGTTGAAGTGAGCTGAAATTCGAAAGAGAGGTGTGAAAGATGACCTTTTGGGCGAGAGGGAGCTAACGGTTGTCCCGTGAGATGTGTGGGAGGGCACACATGAGTCCCTCTAATCCGCGTGTGAGAGGACACGCAGCGCTCACAACCCGTGAGATGTTTTGGGGGGGCAAAGCTGGGTGGGGGGTGGATGTGAACCCCTCAAATTCAAATTTTAAATTTAAAACCCCCCTCCTTGTAGGCATTAAAGGAAAGGAGACAAGGGAGAGAAAATGAAGGGGAGTTGTCCCTTAACCTATTAAATTCGGTTTAGGAGGAGGAGCCAATGAGAAAAAAGGGAAAAAGAAAAAAAAGGAAAAAAAGAGGAAACTTTAGGAACCTTTCCACCCTTAGATTAGCATCAAAACATCTCAACCCTCCATCCTTTCCAAGCCTTAAAGAAATCCTAAGAGAAACCTTAACTAACCCTTTCCTTTTCAGTTAAAGCCTAATCAGACTAGAACTAATTTAGTTCTAATTAGACTAAACCATCCCAACTGAACCTAACCAAACCAACCCTATTCCATTCGACTTAACAATAAAAAAAAAAGAAAAAACCTATACTAAAAAACCAAACCAGCCAAGAGAAGGAGATCTTCTTGGGGATTCTTTCTCAGACTTTCCTCCTCCCTCCCTCACTCCCTCAAGCTCTCACCACTGAACTCTACCTTCCTCCTCTCCTCTCCGCCTTCTTCCTCCACCACTGRACCTACCCATCTCCATCTCTATCAACCTCTACCAACACAGCACCACCGAACTCTCCCTCTCATCGTCTTCTTCCACCTCTCCTTTCACCTAAACCCCAACTGAAATGCCACCATCAAATCTCCATGCCCCAACCAAAACAAAAGAAAGAAAGGAAAAAGAAAAATAGAAAGGGATCTCCATTCTTCTGGCAAAGAAGAAGAAAGAGGAAAAGGAAAGGAGCATGTCCATTCACTATTTTCAGCTAAGGTAAAGAATCCATTTCCCTCTATCTCTCTCTCACCCAAGTCCCTCTCTTTCTCTCTCTGATATCCCTCTTTACCCTTCTATTTCCCCAACTAAAATCCACTCACTCACCCATCACCCTCTTCTTCATACTTCTTAACCCCAAACCGAAACCTAGCTCCATCAAAACCCTAATTCTATTAACCCCAAAACAGAACCATTTTTCTTCCTTGAACCTTCTCCCTTCCAAGAGTCCAGCTGAACCTATCCCCCATCATCATTCAATCCAAGAAAAAAAAAAAAAGAAAAATCTCAAAGCAACCTTAGGGAAGTATCCCCTCTACCCATTTGATTCAAGTAAAGCTCAACCTCAAAAAGAGATGTCAACAATTTCAATCACTTATCTTGTAGTGTATGTCAAAAGGCCACAAAGAGGTGATCCCCTCACCTCATCCTTTTTTATTTTTTATTTTTGTTTTATTTTAGTATTTTTTTTTTGTTTTCTTGAATCTTCTTAATACTCTAGGTGTTTTTTTTTTTTAATTTCATTTCAGCATTGATTTTTTTTATTGGATGATGTTTGTTATTTTTTAGTTAATTTCTTGGTGACTTGGAGTAGAAATTATTAAAACACTTTGTTGACTGATTTGAATAACATTCTACGTCATTTATTAGTTATTTAACATAATTAGAATATATATCATTGCTGAAATTTCTTCTCTCATTGTATCTAAATTCAGATTTGTCTAGTTAAATGAATATATATATTAAATCCTTTTTTATTTGAATGTTAGAATACATGCTTAATAGTATTTCGGCTCTATGTTAAACTCTAGTTCAAGTTACTTTTTCTATCTTGTTTATCGGTATGTTTTGTCTCCATTTTTTTTTTTGCTCTAAATTGTAAGTGTAGATTGTGCTTAGTGAGCCCTAAGTAAGGTGGTTCATAGGGGACTGATTCCCTTGTGCTTTGATTTTTTTTCTCATTAGCCTAGTAGGAATGAGGGGAACCTTCGATAAAGAAGGAATATGCATGTAGTTTCCTAATCCTTTTCTCCTTTATGGGTTTCCCTCACTCAAAAAGAGAATGAGAGGGTTGAATCACTTAGGAAACAAGCTCACCATGACAATCCTTTTTGATGGTTAAAGTTGCTCGAAATCTTGTAGATTTTTGTTTTCTTTTATTCTTATTCTTTCTTTACCAAATTAGGGGAATAGTACTACATGTTGAGTATGAGAGAGGGGTGCCTAACACTTTCCCTCTTTCCCCTGTAAAGTACTTAGAATAGCCTCTTTTGGGATCACATGAGAGTCTTGTTTTGTTTATTGAACTTAGGAGTCCCATCACTCCCATGTTCCTTTTACCGATGGGTGGCGACTCCATACCATTTCAGCCATGGAGTGAACCCCAATTTCAATTTGGATGTTCACAGATATCCCTTTTCTTAAGTCTCTCCCTAGTGGGCATTCTTAGTCAATTTGGGGGGACCTCTTTTATTAAGCCTCTCCCTAGTAGGTAATTTGTTTCATAAAACCAGCCATAAGAAAATTTTAATTTCTCTTTGAAGGGAGGGGGGGGGGGAATCAATTTATTAATGTTCTTAAGAAGTTTCTTAATTTTGATCGTTCATTTCAACCTCCCCATTAAGATAGTCAAAGACTTACTTGACTAAGAGGCTTCCATATGGACTGAAGCCCTATACCATTTCATCCTCTTTCTCCTCTAAAGGAGTATCTTAGCTTCTATTTCTCGAGTAGTTTCATCAAAGACAAGGTGTCTTATTTTGTGCATATCCCATGATCTAATAGATGGATTAATGATCTTGCTCATTGTTTAATTATTTTCACTTATTTCTTCATTTTGACATCTGGTTTAGGGGCGAAGAGGAATACTACTAAGCCAATTATCTTTCCAGATTCTATAGGTCTTCCCATTACCTATTTTCCACGCAGTGCCTCTCTTTAGATGGTCCACCTGGTTCAAAATTCCCCTCTTTTTTGGTGTGGAGGCTTAGAATAACTCAATACCCTTGAGACATTTCTTTTTTATTAGATCAACCCAAAGACTATTCTCATTTTTAATGATTATCTGTCCCATTTTCATAAGGTTTGCTCTATTAATATATTCCATCTTTATTATACCCAAACCCCCATTTTTCTTTGACATAGTTACCTTGCCCCATTTCTTTAAGCAGAGGGGGGTTTCTCCTTGATTCTTACCCAAAGAAAAAAAAAACGACGTTGGAGCTTATCTAAGTCAATAAGGGTGTTCTTGGGAAATTGGAATAATCTCATTTGAAATTAAACCATGCTTCTGATTATCGCTCGAAACAAGGTTACTCTTCTTCTTAATGATAGGGTTCTACCTCTCCAGCCTTCTAATTTATTTTTTATAGTTTGAGTGCATTCATTAACAGTTGTCTTTGTCACTCTCCCAGTTATCATGGGGGCACCTAGATACTTTCCCTCTATTTCTTGCTTCGAAAATTTTAATATTTTGGATATGATTTTTATTATTTTCTTATGAATATTTTTTGAAAAGAATATGGCCAATTTATGGAAATTTGGGATTTTCCAAAAAGCCCTAGCATAATTTTGGAGGATATTTTTAATTTTTTGTATGTCATCAATTGATGCTTTAGAAAAAAATCATGTAGTCGTCCACAAACTGTAAAATGGGAATATTTTGGGCATTTTTATTCACTTTAATTCCTGGGTCAAACTTGTTAGAGCTTCATTACATAGGACAAAAATGTAGGGAGATAGAGGGTCTCCCTGCCTTATACCCCTTGTTGGGTAGAACTTCTCCCTTGGAGATCTATTCACTAGTACTTTAAGAGAAAAAGAACATTTCTCTTTATTGCTTTCAAATTTTTCTAAGAGTAAGGGTAAGAGATTAAAATATTTTCAATCATTATGTGTGTGTGGCTTTCGTTTTAGAGCTCAATAAATACAACCACTTATTTTGTATAAATTTCTCTTTGTAAAATTTTCACACACACATTTTGTCTGTGAGAGGGAATAGCTATTTTTTTTTTGAAAATTTCCTTGCCTTTTGACATTGAATAAATTCATCAGCGGTTTTCCTAACTACTTTCTATTGAAACAAATACAACCTTGGAAAGGATTATCAATGGTGTACGTTAGGACTTTTTGAGCACACTTGAAGCTCTGTATTCTTCTCTGCAAACAGCAGAGAGACGGAGCCGGATGTGAAGACTGGAGAGAGCTGTAGGGTAAAATGGCTTTCAAACCCTCAACCCAACCAAACATCCCATCCTCACCCTTTATATTGACCCATATTCGACCCGCCCATTTAAATGGTTGGATTTGGATGGATGGGGTGGGTGTATTAAATGGGCTGGGTCGAAAACTGCCACTCGAAAGCCCAATTATCCCTTCATTGGGTCAAGAAATTGTAAGCTCAAAGTACATTTTGAGTAGGTATTAACTCGGAATTAATGTCAATCCACGGGCAGGTATAGATGCATAAAATATGGGTTTTTAACCATTTGAATGTTTGTATCTCAAAATGCCATGAGATATTAGATTAGGGTATCTTATGTTTCTTGTAATGTCCTATAAGATACCAACATTTTAGACTAGCAATGGTCTCCTGAGAGAGAGAGAGAGAGAGAGAGAGAGAGAGAGAGAGAGAGAGAGAGAGAGAGAGCTTGATGAAGAGACAAATGGTCTTCTGAGATCAATGGATTAATCTTAACCATCCAAGGTATTCCAAGATTTCAATCAATACAAACCATCCAAATAATATTACTAAGGTGGTGTTCTTCAATGTGAATTGTTTATCTTGTTGTCAATTCCAAAACTAAATCTTGATGGTTTGGAAACAATTGGTTTGTAAAACAAAAACATAAAAACATGATCTTAATTGTATATGTGTTTTTTGTTTATATTTTTGAATAGAAAATTTGTCTTTGTTTAAAAAACATAATTTTGATTTCAAAAACATGATTGATTTTTGGAAATGATTATATTATTTTCACTTATCAAAACAAAATTAAGGTTAGAGAATATATTTTTATTTTTTTGTTAATGCGACAATTTTGAAAACATGTGAAAACAAAAACATTCACATTATCCTAACTCCCCCTACACCAGCCCAAAAATCAAGACCATCAAAATGGTTTCCTAGAGCAATGGTTTGATCCCACACATCTAGGAGATACCAAATTAAAATAAAAATATGATTCCTCAAGGTGAAATCTATAAGTAGATGAATAGATTTATGCCATGTAAGTCATGCATTAGAGTTTTCATAAGGTGAAATATAAAATATTTGCCATTAACCAACATTAGATATCACTTAATCTTGATTTTACTTTCTTTAAAAGGCACAAAAAATAATACAAAAAACAATTAGATTGTGTTTGGAAACAATGCAAATAGAGTATAAATGTCAATTCACTGTAAATATGCACTTTGGTTTAGTTTTGCTAGTGTTTGGCAAGAATGCATTTATGCATTGACAATGGTAGAAAACACAATTTCTAAGGCATGTTTACATCGAAAATGAGATCTAGTTTTGCATCGAAAAAAAAAGAAGTAAATTTGCATTCAAAGTGGGCTTTTGTTAAAAAAGGTATATTACTTTATCGGGATTCACGTCTGCATCCATTAAAACTACAAGTTGTATGGTAGGAAAGTAAATTTGTCAATGTAAAACTAATCTAACTTTGCATTTGCATGGACCGAAATGCACAATGTATATGTATTTACACTCTAACAACCTTAAGTAATTTCTTATTTAATGATATATAAAAATATAGGGTTTCGAGCAGGTCATAAAAGTAAGGAAATTTGTAGATTTGTACCCTGTACTTTGGGCCTAGTCTCACTTTGGTCCCCGAACTTCAAAATGTGTCAATCCGGTACCTAAACATCCAAAAAGTACCAATTTAGTACAAAACCGTTAATCACTGTTAAGTGGCACGTGAAGGGACAAAAATGTTGTCATCTAATTTTCCTTATCAACTATCCAAATACCCAAATCTCTTAGAAGCCAACAAAGAAAAGCAATTTGTTAAAAATTGATCTATTGCTTTGGTTTGATCTTGATTCTTGAGGAAAAAGATGATGATTTACAATTTCTAAGGGTAATTTTGATATTTTCAAAAGTTTTAAGTTGCACGTGTCATCATGTGATAAATATAACTAATAGACTGCTAAAAGTAGGCACTAAATTGGCACATTTTGGAAGTTTAGGTGCTAAATTGGTACATTTTAAAGTAACTAAGACTAGGCCCAAAGTACAAGGTACTAATCTGCAATTTTTTTTAGCAAAAAGTAATTAAGATTTAATTGAAAAAAAAGGGAGGTACATGAGAAGATGTACTCCAGAGAGAGAGAAAAGAAAGGATTACAAAGGAAGAGCACTATCACAAAATAAGCAATCTCTATGAGCACCAGATTTAGCT